CCAGCAGTGTGCGCCCGAACCGCCCGAACCTATGGTAACCATGGTAACCACTGCATGGCTGACAGTCTATTCTGTATTTAATTATTTTGTCTATGGTAAAACCATTGTAAAACCAAAAATCATATGGTAAAAATTATCCCTACCTCCCGATTTTACAAGTGAGGAAAGGATTCTCTCAACGTTTCTAATGCTAATGCTAAGCTAATTCCTAATGTTCAGACATTTGTTTCCCACGTCAGTACCTTCTGCTAATCACCTGGTATATTTGCAGAATTTGCTACAACTCCCAACATTTAGAGCGTAATTGTTGAAAACTCAGTGTAATACGTGACAAGAGATAAATATGATAAATACTGGAAATACTTTAGCCTCTATTTGTGCGTAAGTAACATAAAACCACCTGTATGCAATTCAATTACTGTTTATATATTTAACCTATTATGAATAAGCCTTTGTATGTCACAGTTCATAGTAAACATATTTTATTTAAATAACTATTTATTTTTTTGGCCAATTTTGAATTATTTGTTAGCATTTTTTCATGAGCAAGTCTTAGCCATTAAACAAACAATTAATTAAATTTTAATTGAGAATAATCGATTGGAGCGTTTTAGTGTCATCTTAAGTCGTGCCTTATCTTTATTTTGTCTTTTTGTGCACTAAATCACCATGATTGTTTTTTTCAATTTATGTTTTGTCGTCCTTCCCGATACAAGAATATTAAATATTAATACAAGCTATCACTATATTATAACACCGTTTGAAATCAACAAACCTTTACATTTTATTGTGACTTTGTTTCTACATTTTTATATCTAAGATTCCACTTCAATTAGTTTTTCTCAGAATTATTGAACCAACCCCATTGAAAATGGTTTTGAATAAACTAATAAATTATATAAATAAGTATCACATTTAATTAGTAAAACGTAGCATATAAATAAAAAATAATATTATATATTTCAACAAAATGTCACTTAATTGTTTTCATAAAACATTATAAAAACCATTGAAATCAGTTGTCTCTGGGGGAAGAGATGTCACGATTTTTCAACAACGGAAAATTAATTTTGCCATAAAATGTGCAAAAATATGCATATTGCATTGTAACAATGCTGGGATTGTGTTTTAGAAGGCGAGTACGGGTTTTTCAGCGAAATTCAATTAAATACAGTTCAGACGAAACAATAAAAAATCAAGTATAATTTAGACACCAGGTCTGTTTTACATCTCAAACATCATGTGTTTTGCGTATTTTTCATTTAAACTAAATGTAACTGAAATGTGACTAAATTACTAGATTAATTCATGGAAATGCTTGAGAGAAATATAACTAAATATGTGTCTAAAAATGTATATAAGAAGAAAATAAAATGGTGTATGGTTTCTTATTGTTTACATAATGAGTTTTACTTCTATCTATCCATCTATATACTGATACAATTGGGATTGTCTTTGTACGATCCTTTCTTCAGCCGTGCTACTCACTTAATTTTAGTTTGAAATGTAATTATAGATATTTGTCACTGTGTCGATTAAACAATAAAAATTAAGCAGAAATCATCTTTCTACTTTTTTACAGCTGGTTACACTTTAAGTTTTGGTTAAATTAAGAACAAACAATAGATTAGAGATAGGTAGGTAGTTTTTTTTAACTGTTTTATTGTTTGAGTTTTTATATGAAATATATATAGATAAGAAACAGTGACACACAATTTGAATACACCAGATGGAAACATACCTTAAAATAGTATTCAGCTAATTGCTGCAGCTTGATTCAGCTGATTCGAAGAGATTATGAGGATGAGGTAGTGTAGGCAAACTAAAATTTCAAAATACAATTGACAATCTTGTGAAGGCCATATCATTTGTGTTATAATTTCAAATCCCAAAAAACAAGAGGTTATTTTTGTACAAGTTTTAAAAGAAGTTTAACAAACAACCCAACCCCATTACACGCTCTGGGAGACTCAAATACTTCCCTTAATCACCAGACCCGCTACACTGGAACAAGGCGATTTTGTAAGAAAACTTTTGTTTTGATAAATTTAATTACTTTGATGTTGATTCCATTTAGAACTGTTGTTTTAATGAGCATGAAAACCCAACATGAATCAATTTTTTGTATATGTAATTACCAATTTGTTTCCAATCTGATATTGCTTTATTATATTTTTACCACTGGATTGCGGTATTTTTGGTTAAAGCCCATTGGAGATTCGCTTAATTTGAAACCAGGAAATGAGGACAGAGGTCACTTTACCGCTAGACCAGCTGCAACCGCACTTTTTATAGGAATAATAACTGTCAGTTTTTTTGTAAATTTTGCACCTCTAAATTTGAGATGAACCTGTATACCTATAAAATCATAGATTTTAAACTATTGATGACTATGATTACTTCAAGGCAGTGACCCACACCTAGGTACGTATCATTAGCTAAATGTGAATGAAAGGATAGTATAGAATAGTGTGTAAAGTAAATATTTCTCATGCATATTTTAAAATTAATTTAGTTTGTAAGTCAAGCTAACACTGTTGGATGTGAATAAGAGATGGGGTTTAGTACGATGGACACACGTTTAATTGCCATGGATCACCACGAGTTAAATTAAAGTATTTTGAATGGGGAGGAAAGGTTATAAAATTCTAGAGTTTCCTTATTTAAAAACCAATATTTGAAACTTCAAAAAAATATTTTTCAAATTAATTAAGGCTCATTATTCTTCTTTTCAAACAATGTATTATAGCCATATAATAGTATCACAACCTGATAAGTCGCAGTCAACATTAACGAGGGATTTAACCATTTAAACGGAGAAGAAGAGTATGTCTCTGAAGTGAATAGAACTTCCTCTGTATTGAAATACTCCGTCCATGTATGTTAATAAAGGAAATACAAATTTAATGGAGACAAACTCTGCGAAATCCAAAAAAATTTAATTTTCCTTTTGAAACATTCCACATTTTACTCTGCAAATTAAGAAACAAACTAATTATAATTAGTTGGGTAAGTATAGTCGTTTCATTTAGAATACTATTGTAATTATTTTTAATAAAGTTAGCATTTGAATTAGTTTTACTGTATCTCACTAAGGAGAGCCCATTGGTTTTGTAGCAACTACCCATACTATTAAAAAAATCTTCAAACATTGACTATGTAATTGTATGGTATAATGAATACTACAAACACAAACCTAAAATCTAATGATTAGCTCTTTTGATTGCAAAAAATATAAATATTGCTGGTAATAATAATTAAAAAACATACGTGTGCTAATTAAGTAATCATAAAATTGTTTGTTTTTTTTTTGTCGACACCATTGGCATTTTTATAGGAGAGAGGATGTACAGTCAACAGTGTACTTAACGATTTTAAGAAAGCGGTCTAAACACATATGTGTATGTGCCGAGAATCAAACCTGCCCCTCCCACCCTTATGTCCGGGAATCTAACCACTAGACTGGCAATACAATTCCCAGGAAACATTGAAATTTAAAATTATAGCTTTCTGAATGGAAACTGTCAAGTAAAATCAGCGCAGATAACAAAATGTTGTCACCAAATAACAATAGAAGTGACTGGTAGCCTACAGTATTTCAAAAAGATTACATTTTGAATATAAGCTGTAATGAACTGAGATCAAATGACAGATTATCATTCAAGCTTGTTCACTGGAGGGCATTAACACTATCAATAACAGGCAGTCGTCATAAAACAATTAATATCATAAACCTCAGTGGACACAAAACAATCTGATTTATTCGGTTGAGGTGTTCCTTTTATTTCTACTGTAGTTAACAATTTGTTAAAATAGAGTTACGAGAAACATTTTTCACTGTCCAATAAATAATCAGTTTTACCACTGCGTTTATACTTTTCTCATGTATGGATCAATGTTTTTTTACATGTTTTTAATATTATGAAAATATACTTTTCATGCTATTTTAGGCAGATTTTCATTTTATCATAATCGTCTTTCTCAAGCTTACTGTTTCCTATTAGGTAGTACCAAATTAATTAGACTCTTGTCTAAAAATGTGACAATTTATCAAAATCTCAATCCAAATATATTCGAGTTACCTTTCATTAAGGGTCATATGACCAAAGGTCTATGTCACCTAAAATACAAAAGTGTTACTTTTTTCTAAAGATTAATATATACAGGCTGTCCCGGAACTCTCCACCAATATTTTAGGGCATTGCTCCCGGGTAAGAAACATACCTAAATATCATATTTAAATTGTCCGGAAGTCCTTAGTTACTCACACAGCCGCCATTTTGTTTTTTTCAGTTATTAATTTTTTATGGAAACTTTGCACAAACATTTATGACAACTAGACAAAGCTACCAAAAAATTTTGAAGATTTTTCAAATTCATAAAACAAAATGGCGGCCGTTTAAAATTTTGTTTCTTAAATAACTCGAAAACCGTTGATTTTACAAAAGTTTTAAACGGCCGCCATTTTGTTTTATGAATTTGAAAAATCTTCAAAAGTTTTTGGTAGCTTTGTCTAGTTGTCATAAATGTTTGTGCAAAGTTTCCATTTCGTATGTTTAACCATTCTTTAAAAAAAATTAATAACTGAAAAAAACAAAATGGCGGCTGTGTGAGTAACTAAGGACTTCCGGACAATTTAAATATGATATTTAGGTATGTTTCTTACCCAGGAGCAATGCCCTAAAATATTGGTAGAGAGTTCCGGGACACCCTGTATATATATAAATAGATAAAACAAGTTAAACTTCTTGTTGAAATGGCTGCCTAACATGAAAAAGCTAAATTATTGATCACTATCAGGCCTGACAAATGACTGATCAAAATCTGAAAGAAAATGATGAGATTCAGGTGTAAAGGAAATAGAAAACCACCCACCATTATTTTTGCTTTGTTAAATCTTAAACCATTGAAAATTGTTTGTTTCTAGGGCAAAAAGTTGTTAGTAACAAAACAAAAATTAAAATAAAGCAAGACGATGACAAATTTTGAAGTAATTTATTTTAATAATAAAATACATTCATTGTAATTAAACTATTTACCTAATCAATAAACTATATAGATATAAAATCAAAAAGTTTTGTTAAAAAATCTAATCTAATAAATTTATCTAAAATTATTGTGAAGGTTAATTATTTTAAATTAACTTTCTTAATTAATACTCCTGGAAATTGCTTTTTCCAGTTTCCAGTTTTTCCAGCAATGAATTACGATTTGCATCAACAATTCAACAAATCTGTAAAACGTAAAAGTATCATATTGTAATAATCATTAAATATTTAGGACCATTTTTACAGCAATTCACAAATGCATTTATTGTTACAAGACCAGCTTACAAAATGAGACACTCTAAGTTTCATTTCAATTGCAATAACATGTTATAATATTGGTGAGATTGAATGTTATGCAATAATCAATGGAAAACACATTTTTGTATTGTTATAAAGCACTTGGTCTTTTGTCAAATGATCAAATAGAGATGTTGTCCATTGAACAATTTACACACAATGTTTTGGCCATGTACTTGATTAGTCCTATAATTTCACTCTAGTTAGAAACACTAGCAGCCTGCAAAACACTCCTATATAATGGCCTTAGTGCAATCAGGTGTTCAGGCCAGCCTTAGATTGAATCAAACCAGTATCAATGCCAGTAATTATCTACTATAACCACAAATAATTGTCTATAAGACAGATACATCAATCCTGCTTTGTTTCTATGAGCAGCTCGTCATTGGTTTAATTTTGCAAAAACCTCGTACCCTAGAAGTAGGTGTACTCTCGTAATGTTACTTTTAGTACTAAGTAAATATTTTGTCTCTATTTTTAAAAAGGTCGCCTTGATAAATATGTTCTTGTTATTTAAAAAATATGTTTGTACACGTTAGTTTTTAAAATTAGTAGTGATGGATGGAAATTTAAGTAGGGTGGAAAGAACAGTCATCAGGATGATGAAAAAACATAACGTTAATCTATCGATAGAAACCCACTTGAAGTGGAGACGTCCATACCATGTCTCCTAATACCCGACTGTGTTCTAGCACCATAATAAGCATTTAAGGCCAGTCTGGGAAAACCGTATGGTTATCAGACTAATATCTGCTTTGGATTTTAACTTTGAAGGGCTGAGGAGCAGAAGTGAAGCCAGGCATAGATAGTGTTGAAGGTTCTTTCTCCCCGGGGGGAAGAGAGACGGTATACTTCTCAAAAAACGTCGCTGTGAACAGGAACATTATATTTCTTGCAATGATCTCTCCGACACACACCCTTGGACCTAAAAATTAATAATAAAAATAGTTAATATTTCACGAAGCATTGACTCTTTCATATGCATTAAATGGAGTGTTTCCTCTGTACCACTTATCTGTAATCCAGTACATTACAAGAATGAACAGATCCAACAAATATTTTGTTTCAAAGATATCCTTGCAAGCCTGAAGACGGAGTTGAAACCGGTTGCAACATAAAGCAACGAATTGGATTACTTAAATGCAGGTATCTAAACCACTTTAAGTATTATACAGTAATCCTAAGGCTAACATCCATCAATATGGAATATTTTGTCGTAACAAAGGGGATGTAAACTCACAACAACTTACTAAACTTATACAAAATTACTTAAATTTAAAATGTATTTAAAAATATAGCTACCTCCTCCAAAGGTAGCCAGAACTGAAGGCTTTACGAACACTCCTTCCTTATTAAGATGTCTCCTTGGGTCAAATTCCTCAGGGTTGCTCCAGTATTTTGTGTCGTATCCCAGTGAACGAAGATTCATTGAAACCATTGTCCCCTATAAGTAAAAGATCCTGTAAATTAAGTGCACCAGCTACCAGCAGTACAGCACTCCAGCAGTCATTCAAGAGGCCAGAGTAAACTGTTCAAACTCACCTAAATATCAATAAAAAAACTATTTGTAGTGTAGTGATGTTTGATCCCTCTAATAAAAAAAACCTTTCATTTTTTGCAAAATTAAAATAAAATGATTGTTTTATTCTAAGGGATACAATACACTTTTAACTTCCTTCTAGTTTTCTCCGCTATACTATGAGTTCAATGTATAAAAATAGTTTTTTTTTTATATTTTTTTGCTCAATTACATATGTTTTCTTTATTTTATCTGGCCTTACCTTACATGTCTCTGCCCATGTCTGTGTTGAAACAAGGCCACACTAAAAAAACAGGCCATAATGCTCGTGAAGCATGACGTCACGATAGAAGATGTCAATGACATGGGTATTTATTTATTTATTTTCCAAGGAAAGATTAAAACAAGCAGCTGATCACATACGACAAACAATACGTCATTGCCGTCTTCTATCGTGACGTCATGCTTGATGAGCATTACGGCCTGTTTTTTTTTTAGTGTGGCCTTGGCTGAAACCTTTCTTTGGATCATCTTTCTTATATAATAGTGGCAGGGGTGCTTAGAGAGGGGGGGAGCACCTCACTTGCACCACTAGGATTTTGGGGGGATTTAGTTTTATATACCATATAATGTATCGAATTTCTTATAATTACAGTAGCTTAAAATTTGTTTTTGATGAATTTATAGTATTTATACACTGTTTTAACACTTGAACCACATTGTTAGCTTTTCATACTGTAATTATTAAAATTTTTGTTTTTTGCAACAACGTGATCTTGGCAATTGTGATGATTCTCTTAATTTTACCAAGACAATAACAATGTTTTCATGACCGTGGAAGAATATTTGCTGTGATCACGGGAGATGGTCTACCTTTGTATGGTCGCCATTTCAGTTAAGTATTAAAAGATTATGTTTTCACAATCGTGCAAAAATTTAAAGATATTGCTGTGATCTCAGGAGGCTATGATGATATATTTGCGACCGGGGCAGGGAAATGTAAAGATATTGCTGCCATCGCAGGAGACAATGATGTCTTCGCATGAGTAGGATTAAGAGACGCTCCCAATTTCACCGAAAACTTGTTAAAGATTTTGCCTTGATAGCGGTATATAACCTCAATGCGGCCGCTATCGTGGATTTTTGTCTATGATGCAAGCAGATAGAATACCAGTCTCAGAGAGGACATGGGGAAAAAATATTTCAATTTTTTTCATTTCTGTATTGGCTTCATAGTCTTGTCTTTGTCAATTTGTGGCTATTTCATTACATCTGGTTTGGGTGAAGAGACCCTCCCTAGGGTAATTCTGTTTAATGAGCATGACCATTTCACTATTTCAAAATTACCCAAATATCATAACCGTTTCATCTTCCCCGAAATGTTGTATTAGAAAACAAATGTCCCTAATAATGGTTTTGTAATGACAGTGAGCTATTTTTCTTTTACTTTAGTAGATATGCTTAGTTCATATATGCTGAGGGAAGGAAGCAGGTGGCTAAGTTATGGGAGGGGTGAAGAAAGGGGCAGTATGAATAGGTGTTGCGCTCATGATCGTGTGGTGTTATGGGCACCTCTGCATGAAGGTACACTGTTCTTGCAAAGAAAAATATGTTTACAAGTCTTCAGTTCAAGAACTTACCTTAGGTATAAAGTATCCTCCAAATGTTGTGTCTTTTGTGCAAGTGTGGGGCACATTGGTCGGGACCACACTGTTGATTCTTTCCACTTCTGTCAAAACTGCCATCAGATAGTGCATACTAAACAGATAAAATTGCACAAATATGAACAATTTGTTTTCCAATAGTGTTATAAAATGATAAATGGAATAATAATATTTATTTAAGTGTCTGGTTTTCAAAACTTTTCCAAAACTGGAATCTGATCCAGTTCCTAAATGAGAAATTTCCTATAACAACTTGTTTTTCCTTCAGTCACCCGACAAAGTGGGCTTCCTTGCACAGAAGAAAGACTAATTATTTATATGATTTATAGTAACTGTAGGAAAAATATAATTTGTAACACGAGCGCAAACTGCCTTTGCTGCACTTGAGACACTTTCCACACTCGCCTACGGCTCGCAAGTAAAAATTTTTCTCGTGTGCAGCAAAGTGCCACTTTGCCCACTAGTTACACAAATAACTATTGTTTTGAATAAAACATTCTTAAGTTTTATGTATAATACAATAAATGTTTTCGTATACATCGGGTAAGTACTATCGGCAAGTGACAAAAGCGAACTTGCAGCCAGTCTGCTTTTAGTTCGCGAGTGAATGGTGTCGATACTTGAATTTAATTTGTGTTGAGCATGTCTGATTGTAATGGAGAATGTTGTCAGCATAGTTAATATAAAGTATGTTCCACAATAGTTCGTAATTTTGAAAAATCTTTAAAAACTTAGTTATGTCTTCACAGCTCCACTTAATGATTTTTTCTTCTCAGAAGGGCCCTTGTCTGACATTTTATTCTAAACAAACACACTTTCACTTCTATATACATGATCAACTCTGATTGAACTTGCCACTCTGCTACTGGCGGCAAGTGCATGTCAAGTACACGTTTTGACAGGAAAGTTCTGGCCACCAGTGGTCGCGTTACCACCCTCTTGACCCACTACTTACCGTGGCCAGGCCAGCAAAATCAAACATGTTTGAGTTTTCTTTCCGTCAGTAAATACTTGCTGCTGGAAAGGAAGGTAAGTATGCAGTAAGTTCAACTGGCAAGTACTTGCAGCCCGCAACTTGCCTTCTCTACTGTCCCTGTCTATACGCTGCTTGAGGCAAGTAACCTGCCTCTAGTGCATTTCAATTTACTGACTACTACAGGGCACACTAGTTTAGGTAATCTTGCACACTGTAGAATGGGCCGGTGTTGCAAAAGTTATATATATTTAGTGTTGTCTTCAGCTTCTTAGGAGGACTGGACATCTTGACTTCGACAGGTATGCAATTGAAACGCTTAGCCCCAATGTAGCATAGGAGGATGGCTTCTTTTCATATATTCTGCTGTGAAGAGTCGGTAGGTTGAAATCACAGGCACGGCGAGTGTGTGATGGTGAATATCCTCTTTCTGTAGTTGTCTAATTTTTCAGGCCATTTGTGACAACTCCCAAGATATATATGTTTACAAAATAGGACCCCCATGCCCCAAAATAGGATAGGATGCCCCATTCAACAAAAGCACGTCTGCAACTACTTCTCCATTCCAAGCCATTTTTAGTACTAATCACACTTTATATATTAAAATGTGCTGGGTTTTCAATTCTGAATTAAGTACTTGACGGATTTCCATGAGTTTTCTGTTAAGAGAAAGATAATTTTGAGAGGAAGGGAATGTTAAAGCCAATATTTTAATCGTGGGTTTCAGTTTTTGAAATTAAGTTTAGACTTTCTAAAAGTCTAGTAGCCGACACTATATTTTAAGTTTGTTTTAACTAACAGCTGGTTTCAAACTGTCACTGAAATGTTAACATTACAAACTGTTGACTGATTACAAACAAAATATTGTTGATTTTGATTACAAACAAAATATTGATTGACTTTATTGTCGGTGTTACATATTTTTACGTTATTAAATTAAGTTTTTACCTAAGTTTATGCTATGAAGATTTGATCTCATGTTAGGGAATTTATTTTTGGCAAACTACCGATACTGTAGATTGTACTCATTGTCCGGTTTTAAATCAATAAATTACTTGACCATACAATACACCTACCTTAACTTGTCATCCAACTTGGGTTTCCTTGCTCTTGCCAGAACATGGTCTATTTCTGCTTGCATCTTTTCCTGAATCTCCGGGTACAAGATCATGTACAACAGTACAAACTCTACTGAGTTACTAACAGATTCTGCGCCGGCCACGAACAAGTCGAGCGCTATCATGATAAGGTCCTTTTCTGGAAATATACTACTGAATAAAAAACTGTATTTTTCATCATCTCAAAGTAAATATAACTGTGAACATTCAAATTTTCAGACTAGGCATCATTTCAGAAAGTGTGTTGACTCGGAATATCCTGGAAAGATTTGGAATAGGGATTGCCAGTCTGTGCTAAGAGTATAATTCTATTTTGTGTAATGTTTAAAATAAAAAATGTGTTGACTCGGAATTTCCTGGGAAGAGTTGGAATAGGGATTGCCAGTCTGTGCTAAGAGTATAATTCTATTTTGTGTAATGTTTAAAATAAAAAATGTGTTGACTCGGAATTTCCTGGGAAGAGTTGGAATAGGGATTGCCAGTCTGTGCTAAGAGTATAATTCTATTTTGTGTAATGTTTAAAATAAAAAATGTGTTGACTCGGAATTTCCTGGGAAGAGTTGGAATAGGGATTGCCAGTCTGTGCTAAGAGTATAATTCTATTTTGTGTAATGTTTAAAACAAAAAAACAATATCCTGTACAATACAAAAAATAGTTTCCATTATATGAAGTCATATATTTCAAAACGTTAAAATTGTTTGGAAAATTTCTATTTACAAGCTTGTGTAGCTCTGAAAATGATCACTTTAGCACGATTATGAAGAAGACCATTTTAGTTTTTTTTTTTCATAAATTATTTTTGTTAAATGTTTATTTTTTACTAAACCATATGGTGTTCAAAATATGTTATAAAACCAAAAACACTTTTTCAGCCAATCAAACCTTCTTCCCGCAAACCCTACGATCAAACTGGTGTAACTTTATACCATATATGGAAACTATAATGAACTGTAGTTTGGAATCAAAAGTGAGCTTTCACTTTCTATGTTGAGGTTTAAGTCTAATAGAACTGTATTACTACAGTATGTGATTGGGGGGAAGAAATAACACATCACAAGAAAGAGAAACTGTTAATCACAAACTTTGAATGGAAGTCAAGGAATGGTGTTGTAAAACTTACTTCTCTCAACATAAACAAAATTAATCATGACAGATATTTTCTAATTTTAACATAGATTATTCAATAATTATCTTACCAGTAAAAAGCTTAGAGGTGTTTTTCTTCATTTCAATCAAGTAATGGTCAATCAAATCCATAGGGTTGTTTGGATCTAAAATTTCCTCGTGTTCTTTGATTGTTTGCTGTAACAGAAATGTTTACTTAAATCCTGTGCATGTCGTCAGTTTCCTTAAAATGTGATGAAAACTTGTAAAACATTGATTATTTAATTGTAATTTTTTATAAATGCAAAATCTATATCTATAAAAGAGGAACTATAATATGTATATATGTATGTACCTTATGGACTCCGAAACCACTATTCAGATTGAATAAATAAATAAATAAATAATTCTTTATTATCACATCAAAGTTTTGAATCATACCACAGCTAAAAAACAGATGACATTGTCAAGTATATTACTAACCCTAATGTACAACAATATGTCTTAAGCATTAAAAAATGTTTTTAAACCAGTTGGCAAAATTTGTTAAACGATAACAGAACAAAAATAAGTTTCTATGTCATACAAAATAAAAGTCATATTGATTGGTTATAGTTTCATTAATCATTAACACTGTAATATGTTTTACTTATCAGAAAATCAGCAAGGCTGCTTTTAAAAGATGTATTATTAATTAAAGTTTTTAGATTTGAGGGTAGTTTATTAACAAGTTCTTTTTCCCATGTATTTAGGTGTTTTTTCTACAAGCTTCAGTCGGTGTCTCGGATATTAAAAGAAATAAATGATGCTCTATTTTTTTATCAGTAAATTCATCAGTAATTTAACCCTCTAACCTCAATGTGTGTCTTGAAAAAACTAAGAATGCTGAGAGGGCTAAGAAAATTATTTTTCTCCTCTGGAAGTTACAAAAGATGTGTCTTACAATTATTGGTATCAAAATAAAATGTCTATTAAAAATAAGCTGATTACTCCCATAATACTTACTTGTACATATTTTTGAACTTCTCTGAAGGTTGCTGTGTTCAACTTAAAGCTTGTGTCAATATATTTGAAAATTGGTGAAATATCAACCAAGCTACCACCAGCAGGAGTTCCTCGACGCATCATTGCATTCAAGCTTCCCAAAAACTTTCTTGATTCTACATCATTGAAATCAATCCTCTTATTTGCCAACATTGTCCAAATAACATTCACTGAGGCGACTCCAAATATACCGGTTCCCTATAAATAATACACACATTAATACTTTAATACTTTACAATGAAATGGCGACCAAAAATGTAGGTATTTTAAGCCAAACTGGTACTTATACTTTACCCTTGACACTTAATACTTTTAACTGAAATGGCGACCATAGAAATGTAGGTATTTAAAGCCAAGTATGAAAAGAGATGAGTGTAGGATGAGTGGCGCAATCTTTTATAGTCTTGTTACTGACTTAGGCTCACATGTTTCTTAGATAAGACTTTTAATTAATATATAGCCCATACAGCCAACGTCAACTAAAGGGACCTGTATTTATAATGGAATTCAAACCAAATTTTTGCCTTGCAATTTACGAATTTGTCTAATTATCAGGATAGTACTGCGGATAGTCGTAGTACTCATTGGTGCGGACATTAATCCACACCAGGGAGTATTGCATCCACAGATCATGCCTGTAAATATCCACAATTGGTGACCTCCAAGTAGCTGGATTACAGGACGAAGCCACGGTCCCAGGCCAATCATATATAAAACCTCTTTATTAAAGCAAAAGAGAAAAGTTTTGGACTAGATAAAAAGTAACACAAATAAATTATTCTTTAAAAATATTTAATTATTGACATTTATTTGTATAATACATCCATTGATTGAAATAAAAACAATAACATACTATTGAATGGAAATTACAACATAGCCAAAACCTCATTGAATTACAGAAGTTTTACCAGAAACAGAAGCTACACATAATTCCTGTACCCTAAACCTTGGGTGACCCCGCACTTGGTGAAAAAAAAAAATGTAATTGAATTTTAATTCAACTACGTATGTAAGTTATGAAGACATAAAAAGAGGTGGTATAATAATACCTACATTATTTATTGAGATTTTTGTTGGTTTAGTAGGTATTGTTGGGAAACTACTTTTTGGTAAAGGGCCCCGCTCTGAATGTTTGCACCACCATCTGATTGAATGCCTTGCACCACCTAAACCTGTCTCTGACTTCTGTAAAAATTACGATCAAGATGCAGGTTGTGAAGAGTCATAAAAGAGAGAGGAGAGGATTCTATTGACGTGATTTCAAATCTATTATCTATCTTACGCTCCCAAAAGATCTAAAACCTCTTTCGCCGCTGGGCCTGGGCCGAGCTTGCCCATTTACCAAAGCGGCTATTTTATGTCACAGATTGCGTCTCCATTTAATTTAATGTAGCCTGTTTCAATCCCTAATCTTTGCAACCATGTTGCGAAGACAGGTTCGCCAAGAGTGGAGGTAACCTTACTTCTGGTTGAACGCAAAACAACTGAATTGACAGAGTTTGAGTTGAACTTTACTCAAAGGTACCTGGATAACACTGCCATCTTTGAATGTTTCCATGAGTTGAGAGATTTCATCTTGAATTAAATCTTCTTTTTCGTTCTTGCCATACGCTCTCATTTGTTTGACTGTAAACTTGCGTGAAGACATCCATTGTTCTCCACTGCTGAAAAAAATACCTGCAACAGTGTTTATAAAACCCATTCATTAATGTAAACAGGTGCATGGTAAAGTTTTACGCTTTTATACTTTAATCTTTTTGGAGATAAGTGTTTTAGTTTATTAATGTTAAGTTACTTAAGACATTATGTGTTTATAAATAAATTTACCATTAACACTTTGACTTAAATGGTTCCTCAATTATTTTTAACTGAACTCTTTCCTTAACCCCTCAATCTTACTTTTGTATCTACTTTTCTTCTTTTTGAATCCTACTCTTCCTTTGAATACTGTCCAAGTCTCTAGAAGCAAACTTAATCTGCTTCCATTTGATTCCCTGTATGTTAGAAACGTTAACATGTTTAAATGTTAGCAATTTGTAATAATTTGTTTTCTTTCCTTGTCATCTGATCTTAGAATGAAAACTAGCTACCCCCGTGGTCGAAAACTCGACAAGAAGTATGTATTGAGCAAACTTCTCTATTTTCACCCCACGCTGTAAATAAAACATGTTACTGGAATTTCTTCCATTTGTTTTGATTTTCTTTTTATATTTTGTTGTTATTTTCTCACCAACATGGAAACCCATAAGGCCCGTGTTGGTCCTTATTTGTTTTGCCTATTTTAATTTATAAAGGGAATTCTGCATATCTACAGGCAAATATCTTTTTAACAGTATGCGTAGATTTTCCCTGTGATGCACAGGAGCTTAGAAAACAGGTTATCAAGACATGCTTGTCTATTAATATACAGAATTATCTCCATGTTAAATCTCCATAAGCAAAGTTGTATTCCATTTTTCACCAAATTAATATTAATATTTAAATAAATATATAAAATAATAATTATATAAAATAGATATATATATATCAAAATACAAATAAAACCTGCACATATAGGACCGATAACCTTTCTTTTGGTAGAACTCCCATGTAATTTTGGTCCAGTAGTATGGACAGGCTAGCTGTCATAAGTTTTGCAAAAGTTTTTTTTTAAATATATAAGACTAGAATCTTTTTACTGACTACTGTATACTATACTATACTAGAACCAGCTGTTTCTCATCCAATTATCAAGTACATCTGGATACAGTTTTAATCTTAATCAAAAAGCTATGAATTAATTAAAGATTATATAAGAAAGGTCCTTTCACCAAATAGTTCACCGAATGATCTTTCTCTGATGGAAAATGTGTCTGGTCGATCTTGAAACTCTTCTTTTCGCAGTGCAGCCAGCACATTGTCAGCTCCAGTAACAAGAACAACTCTTAGATTTCCAACTGTAAGTCCGATGATCTCACCGTAAACTTTAGACCACTCCTCTACAGCCTGATAGAGATGCTTTGGCGCCTTTGGCATTTGGAAAGTGTTGCCAACAATAGGCAACGGTGTAGGGCCTGAGCATAACAACACTCATTAAAAAAATTTAAAAAGTTAAAATATTTTAGTTTAGATATAATTAAAACTAGGTAATAGCTTCCTTACATACGTCTATGGTCCAAATTTTATTAACTAATTATACTGTTTTTTTGTTGCAAAAGGTAAATAAATTATTATATAAAAAAAAATCTTAAACATTTTGCAGGCTTTAAATGTTGATTTTGGGGTAAAAATAGCAGTATTTTTTTTATCAAAAGGGAGTAGAAAAATATTACATCCTAGATTGGTTATATCATACATCTTATTTTTTGATTACATAAGCTATATGGGACACCTAATAATTTTCCATTTCAACATATTTCAAGGTTAAACCATTTAACGTTAAGGACGTTCAGCTTCCCAGTGGATTTGAAAGTGGTTTTTATTCGTTTGATGTTAAAACTACAAACAAGTTTCTTAAGAGTAAAACTAGGTATATTAAAACTTTATTTTATATTCGAGAAATATCATTTTAAGGCAGTGTTGTCTACAATTATTACTATTATCAGTTGCAGGGAGCAAGCTGGTCTAGTGGTATTCGGAACCCTAGGTCAAGGGTTCAAATCCCGCCAATCACCAATGGATTTTATCTATATAAACTATTATCATTTGCTATTTATGTCTCTTACAATTGAGTTGTTGATGTTCACTATTAATGTCTCTCGTTTTTACTCAGGATAATGTGTGTTTTGGTTACAATACAAGATATTATGTAAGAGCAAAATGCAGTATATGTAAATCTTTTCAAGATGTTCATACAATATACTTTTTCATTCATTTTTGTCTCTATAATAAAGATTTTGTCCTGACAACAACAATGTAATAATTTGAAACTAGGATGGAAAAGAGTAACAAAATTTTTAATAATAAATGTTGTAGGTGCAACATATTTGTTCTATTTCAAAGAGATTGTGATACCCATTTAGAAGGAATTTTTTTAGGGATTTTCTTTGTTTCTGTACTGATAACTGAAAGGCTGCTAAGACAATCACAATCATTTGACGACATTTACCTAACTGATAATCTTTCTAATGAAATTATTTGTTAAAATTCCTCCATAGTTACTGTGTAACTTGTGTTTCTATTGTTTGTAGTTAATTACAATCAATAGAGAACTTAAATTCTGATGGGCAACATATTGAGCAGTCTAAAACTTAGTTTATTTTTCTTATTTTTTTTTACTCAGGGGGTCCGAGGTGCATTGCACAAATCTAGTTATTTCCATTCATCGTGGACAAGTTTCAATAAAAATTCATTAAAGCAATTAGAAATTCACTGAGTCAGCAGGTGCCATACCTGGTGGATAGTTAGTGGGTCTCCGAGATCTCCATAAGTATGAAAGTAATGCTATTGAAAATAGCAGCAGAATGGTTCCCAACATGTTCTAATTGGTTTGCCACTAGCTTCCTGAAACAACAAAAAAACCCCAAATAAAAATTGTATTTAAAAAGGTTGGCCTGGACCATTTTTACAACCCAATTAAATTTAAAGCCCAGCGAAAAACGTCACATATGTCCAATTTTGACACATCAAAAAGTTGCTATGACATTTCTCAAGATGAAACAAGGTAACCTTCTGATGGCTAAACTAAACAAGCCCTCCAATTCCTCAGCTATCCAACGGATGTATTGAATTGACATGTATTCAGAATAAATACTAGTAATACTCAAGTAAACTCAGAACAAATACATTCAATAGGATAAATTAGATATTAGAAGAGGAAGAGATTCTAATAATGAACTGTCATTAATATTCTCACACATGAATACTGAATATTGTCATTGGAATATGAGAAATTCAACTGTTTAAAATTAATTTGAAGCCTTATAAAATAGAGGTTAACGAATACTCAAGAAATGCATACCAGAATCTCCTTATACAGCTGAATCAGGCCAACTGGGCAACTGGAACTGGCTAGTCTATGATGGTCTGTCAGTGATGAGGGAATGTGCCCAAATTCTGTGGAGGGGGGACAGCCTTGGTGGAGATAATTGAACAACAAACACAGATAAACACTCAAGTGGGCATGTTTTCTGCAAGTCATTTCTTTACATTGTTGCTTTGCATGTGATCACATGTTTTGGAACATGTGTTTTAAAAGATGACATAAGCTTGTAATTTATTTTTAACTCTAAAATATTTTAGAGTTATTACTGAAAGCCCCGTGGTCAAAAACTCGACCAAAAGTGCCTATATATTTTCTTCTCTATTTTCACACCACACTGTAAATAAAACATAGTAACGAAAGTAACTATTTTCGATAACAGCTGACATCAATGAAAGTAGTCTTTTCCCAATCTCTAATTTAGCGCGAGGGAAAATCAACTAGCTGATCTTCCCTCGCTCTGAATTTACTTTTCTTCGCTCTCGATTAGTTCTCCATTTACTCACTACGTGCACTATTGTTTTGTTATGGTTTAATTAAAGATTTGAATCAGCTGTATGTTTTGTTAAAAGTTGTTAAATTCTTCGATGTTTGAAAAAAATTGTATTGAGATATATAGGTATAGGTTTCCTTTAGAATATGTCCTTTATTTTTATGTTTAAAAAAATGTATCAACAGTTTTTCTTTTAGAAGATTTTATTTTATTTTGATGTTTAAAATTGAGAAATAAAATAGTTGTAATATTACCTACTGAAGTTTGTTTATCTGTGTTTGTGTATTTTTGCGTCGTGATGAAAAGTATCGTTCATAACTCGTACCGAAAGTTATTTTCCTGCTCTTGCTCCATTATCCCCGTCCTCGGCTTAGCCTCGCACGTGAAATTGGGGTTTCCTGTGTGAGGCTTTGCCGGGAAAAACTTGAGCGCGCGCCGGAAAATACCACTTTCGGTCCTAGTAACGAAATATTTTATTATAATGTTTTTGTAAACACTCCTAGTACTTTTTTTGAGTTTTACCATTACAGTGTACACAACCAATCTGGTAAACGGTTAATTACTATCACAGCTGAGAGTATTTGAAACACTTGCTTAGAGTGTGGTATGTGAAAAATATTTTTAATACAGTATTGGTACTGCATAGAGATATACAATAGTTCAAAATGAATATATGTAGCCTTAAAAATATAGGATAACACTCAAGATAGCAAAAGTAAATGCATACCAAAATCTCTTAACAGCTGACAAACACCAACTGGCTAGTCTATGTGGTCCATCATAGAATGTACCAACATTTTGTGGTGGGGGGCAGCCTTGGAAATAATAATAATTGAACAACATAATCACAGATAAATTTCAAGTAGGCATGTTTTCTGCAAGTCATTCCTTAGCAAGTCGCATTCCTTAGTCTTAGCAAGTCATTGCTGTGTTGCATTTGACCAGTGATCACATGTTTTGGGACGTATGTTTTCTAAGATGGAATTAGGTACCGGTACTTTCAATCTATATATATATAAATTTATTGGGTTTTCTTTTCCGAGTCTGTTTGGCTCTTCAACCCAACCGATTTTCATAATTTTGGTCTTAAATTAAAGTATGCACGCACAAACTTCCCATCATGGATTGGCATTTATTTATCTGAGGTATATTTTGAGTTATGCACAAAAGCAATTTCCTACCTGTATATTTCTTATGGGAGTTAATTTTGGTTTTTCTTTTCCGAGTTCGTTTGTCTCTTCTACCCAACCGATTTTCATAATTTTAATCTTAAATTATTCACGCACAGATTTGCCACCATGCATCATCATTCATTTATCTACTGTATTACTTGATCAAAAAACATAAATTTGTTTGAATGTCTTTTGATCTAAGAACCTCAAGCTTTCATTTGCGTTATTTATCGGACGTACAAAAGGCACACTGCTGAATCATGAACAACCCAAATTGTTTCAAAAATGGAGTTATTTATCATTGACAGAGAGGTAAATTATATTGCTTGAAACCTCAACAGTATAACCGTAGATTTCGAGGGTTTCACCTAGTCTATCTTCAAAATTATTCATTTTTTTCTAGTTGGTTTGGCTTGACCGATTTTCATCATTTTTATCTTACATTAAAGGTATGCAAGCACAGTTTTTCCAATGCGTTGGCATTAATTCTGACGTACATTTCGACCTATGCACAAAAGCAACTTATTCCTCTCTGTACATTTCTTATGGAAGTTAGATTTGGATTTTCTTTGGATTTGGCTCTTCCACCCAACCGATTTTAATAGTTTTGGCCATTAAAGGTATGCCCGCACAGATTGCCATCAAGCATCATCATTCATTTATCTACTGTACTCGACCAATAAACATAAAGTTGATTTTTTTTCTAGTTCTACTTCAATTAAAGATGTACATATATTCACCAAAACTCTATTGTATTACCATTATATTGTGAGTTTTATTTGACCCAGGCAACACCTGGCTTTACTACTAGTCTATATATATAAAATCCAATGTATGTTTGTATATTTGTATATTTGTATATTTGTATGTTTGTATATTTGTATGTTTGTCCTTTATGGACTCCGAAACCGCTCTACAGATTGCAATGAAACTTTTAGGCATTATTAAGCATTATTCAAGGATGGTTTGTGTGAAGTTTGGTGCAGATCCGTCAATAGGGCTCCGCCCCAGTGGCTCTGGAGTTTCCCATGTTAACCTTATGAGTACTCATATTTAAATGGAATTAAAGAATCTTAACAGCTGGTGCAGCTAAACAATTTGATTCTGTGATGTTCAATAGCATTAAAAAGTTAATAGGTTTACCAACAGGGTGCAGCACTATATTTTTTTTAATTTATGAGAACAGCTAATTTGCAACCAAAAGGTGAGTGAGCGTAGCGAACGAACTTCAACCTGGAGGCGAGTTAGCGTAGCGAACGAGCTAACCTGAAGGCAAGTGAGCGCAGCGAACGAACTTCAACCAGGACGTGATTGAGCCATGCGAACGAGCTCATCTTGAAAATGAACGAGCATGTGACATAAAACCACAATAGGACAGGACGACGTCTGTCGGGCCAGCTAGTAATTTATAGTTTCTGATCTGTCCTATTCTAGTGGTCAATCTCCACCATTGTTATCATCTGTTTGTGTTTCTAGATAGATACATTATCAAAATATGTACAACATGTTGTATCCTTTAACCATGCATTACTGTATGATGTGATTGCATTAAAACATGAATATTAATGAAATTTGATATTGCAATGTGAATTTCTTCATCATTTTACAATAGTCAGAGTTCAAATCATTGAAGTCTACTGCAGTATATAATTTCTTGGATATGTTAACCAAATGTCTACTTGTATGGTTATTTAACCAAAGGTTGAAGAAAGTGACCCTATAAAATTGACCAGACAACATTCCTATAGCTAATTAGCCACCTCTTCTCAGACGTATTTCATCCTCAAGTTGTAAGAAACTAGGCATCCTTGTGGGCATAATTATTGTGGATTAGTTTGATTATAGTTTCTGCAAGCTGGTTTTTAATTTTAATTCCTTGTTTTAGCTGTTCAAATATAGCTTTCTTTTTTGATCTAGCTGACTATTATAACTTGCAGAAATAAGACTGAAACATAAATTAGTATTTCAATAAATAATAAACTTAACATGTTGTAAAAAATTAAAATATTGTGTTATTACTAAGTTGGTTATTTAGAATATTGTGAACCTTTTAACTTGTGTTCGGCTATCGGCTTTCCCTCACTGAGTTGTTCAAGTGTGAGGTAGGTAGCATGGCATAGACCCCAAATATATGAAATGCACACATTCTGCCTAGTATTAACAGTCTAGTGAAAAAAAACGCTCCACTCTCCAGCCAGCACAGTGACAGCACTAAACAGCTGGACTACAACGGCCGACCACTTGGTGCTCAGTGTGAGTGTACATCAAAACCCATTTGATAAGGGTTCCAGTACAATACTTGCACTTAAACAAAATCCTTTAATTTTGTGATAAATTTAGTTAGGTATTAAATTGGAAACCCAATTTAAAAAACCAACTTGTAATAATAACTACCTATTATTGACTACAATAATAAATAATAATAATGTTTATTGTAAGACAATTAGCATTGACATTTGACAAAGTCAAATACAGTACAGTCAGAGACAGACATATAGTAAGAATGTTTTAGCAATAAATTGTAGAAATGTGTCATTTACACAATAATAAAGAGTGAATAATCTTTATATCAAACTAAATTTAACAGTTTTTTAGTCAATCTGTTTAATTTTCTTAAAATTGAATACAAGTCATATAAAAAAATCTTTAAATAATAAATTAAATGAGTACCTGATTATGGCTGAGAGCCTTCACTTGAAATGGATTATGGCTGCTCAACTCGCTCCACCATCCATCGCAAAGCTTAATATGGATGTTATTTATTCAATTAATTATTAACATAGATAAAACATTGGTTAGTCTATGTTATTTATTAAGTTGTGCAAAGTTTTGACTATTATTCTGAAAAACTCGTTGTATTGTTTCACCGACAAGGTGCCATCTATACTCAATTTCAAAACTTTGAACGAGCATCACTAGCGGCTGTTTTCTATAAGTGAGTTGACTGTGGACATACAATGCATATATACCTGAAGTGGTGTGTATATAAAATCAATATTACGGGTATTTTTATGCACTAGAGAGTAGAGACCGCCGGGAGCGGGAGGCTTGGTTACACTTTATAAATATTGTCTGCGATGAGAGGATTGATCCTAGTTGAACCATAAAGCCCATTAAGATAAACCTTGCTGGGCTTCTGGTTGAAGTGTTCACCTAACAATAAAAATGTCCCCTGTTCGATCCTGAGAAAATTCAGTACTTTTTGATGGTTCGAAACTTTGACCCAGCTGCTTTTGATCATTGGGCTTTAAAATAAATAATTGTGATTGATGAAACATCTGATCATAGTCAGTTAGCAAATAAGCTACTCATCACATCACATAATATTCTACACTCATCCTTCACTTATATTTGGGTTTTAAAAATATACACCTAGATGGCGTCCTCATCTCAACTAGTTGTTTGATAAATGCGGCCCTGTCAATAGCATACATGTAATACCGCCGCCGCAGCAAACCTGCAGACTAGGCGAATTTCAACTTGTCTGATTACATATTTACTAAAATATTTCCATAAATAAGAAATATTTATTCCCAATTTAAATAGCATTAGATTTAATGAGTGCTTAGGTTTGCTGCTACGGGGAAGGTAAACAGTGTTTTTTGACCAAACGTCAATAGTATAGGATGAAATAAACTAGGTGGCGTTCGCAGAGGCATCCACAAAATTGAGCGGAGTCATCAAGGGTTCATATTGTATTGTTTTTGTCTTAAGCCCCGTTCACACGGGGCGAGTTTACAAGCTACACGCCGGCTTTTTTACACGCAGCTAGTAAAATAGCTCAGTGTGAACGACGTACTCGCTCAAAAGCTGCTTGTAAAAAAGCTCTGGAAAAAGTTGAAGCTGCCGCTACTTTACACGCCAACTCGCCAGCTTTTGAGCGAGTAGGCGTGTAAAGTAGCCCAGTGTGAACACAGTTGCTTGTGCTTGTGCGCTTGTTACTCAAAGTTGTTGGAGGATTTGGTTCAAGCCAGCTACTGAGCGAGTTGAAAAAGCATCGTGTGAACGACTACAAGCGCACTCGCCGCCTCGCCGGCGTCTTTCTACACGTTTGCGAGTTGGCGAGTGGACAAGCTCCGTGTGAACGAATACAAGCACACTCGCCAACTCGCCGGCTTCTTACACGCTGGCGTGTAGCTTGTAAACTCGCCCCGTGTGAACGGGCCTTTACTGCAGTAAAAACAGTATTTTTTCATGCATGCGCTGCGGGTCTAAAGTAGCATTTTTAATATTTAGGGAGTAAAAATCGTTTTTAGCCTCTATGGAGTAAAAATCAGCTGTTGTCAACTCAGTTGTAAATTTCGATTGTAAACGATTGCATGTATCGAAAATATGTATCGATTTGTGCTTCGTAATCATTTTAACATATTACAGTCTACAGTCTCTTCCCGTAGCATTTTAGCATTGCAGATACATTAATCCATTCCCAAACTCAACACTGCTCACCTTTACTACTTCCTTCACCACACCCTACGTCGTGGACCTGTTTCCCTCTCTTCCCATAGCATTTTAGGATTGCAGATACATTAATTTAATTGCCAAAGACAGTTCCCACACTCTGCGCTGTTAGCCTTACTACTTCCTTCACCATTTACTACGTCATTGGCCTGTTTCCTTCCTTTCTCATAGCATTTAAGTATTACAAATTCATTTATCTATCTGCTCAAACGGTTCCCCCACTCTGCACTACCAGCTTTTACTACTTCCTTCACCACTTACGTCGTGGACCTGTATTCATCGCTTTCCATAGCATTTTAGTATTTTAGATACGTTAATCTAATTGCAACAAACATCCCCACTGTCCGTACTGCTAGACTTTACTACTTCTTTCACAATTTCCTATGTCTTGGGCATGCTTCCATCCCTTCTCATAGCATTTCAGCATTGCAGATACATTAAAACTGCTACAAACGGTTTCCAGTTCCCACACTCCACACTGCTCACCTTACTACTTCTTTCACCTGTTTCTACGTCGCGGATCTGTTTCCCTCTCTTCCCATAGCATTTTAAGATTGCAGATACCTGAATCTAATCGTCATAAACAGATCCCACACTCCGAACAGCTCGCCTTTACTACTTCCTTCGCCACTTCCCACATCGCGGACCTGTTTCCCTCCCTTTCCGTAGCATTTTAGGAACGTTGTGACCTTAATCTAATCGTCATAAACAGTTTCCATACTCCAGACTGTTCACCTTTACTACTTCCTTAACCTCTTCATACGTCACGAACCTCAAGCTAGTGTCGTCATTTGATTATAGTACCTGGGGACCGAGCTTTGCTCGGGGAAAATCATTAGTTCAATCTGAAAGCACCGTAGTATTGGAGATGCATAAATCCACTTATCTACATCCTACACAATTTCCTACGTCATGGATCTGTTTCCCTCCATTCCATTGCATTTAAAGATTGCAGATACCTTAATCTAATCGTCATAAACAGTTCCCACACTCCGGACTACTCGCCTTGACTACTTCCTTCACCACTTCCTACGTCGCGGACCTGTTTTCCTCCCTTCCCATAGCATTTTAGGATTGCAGATACCCTAATCTTATCGTCATAAACAGTCCCCACACTCCGGACTGCTCGCATTTACTACTTCCTTCATCACTTCCTACGTCACGGACCTGTTTCCCTCTATTCCCATAGCATTTTATGATTGCCTATACTACTTCCTTCACTACTTCCTACGTCACGGACCTGTTTCCTTCCCTTCCCATAGCATTTTAGGATTGCAGATACCTTAATGTATTCGTCATAAACAGATCCTAGACTTCGCACTGCTACCCTTGACTACAATGTATCGAGTAATCTTAAGTATAATCTTTGCTCAATATTAACAAGTGATGTTTTTCCTTTTGTACTGTATTTGTAATTTCCTAGTATACTGTGGGTAGTTGGCTTATTATGAGCACATGCTAAAACTTCAAATCTTTTGTTTACTTTTTACTTGTTATTTAATTCAGCCAACATGGTTACCTAGCAGCCCATAAGACTAATGTTAAAAAAATGTGATTTTCAGTTTCATTTTTCTACGGATTCCTGAGAGACTTTTTTAACGCAATATAGATGTTGGCACTCACCGATATGGTCTTTATCACCATGCAAAATTTGAAAACGATTTATTCAGCCGTCTAGGAGGAGTTTGCGTATTACGAAATGCATAAAAGTCGACGTATAAGAGCTTCGCTCGCTCCGCTCAATAAATTTGCCAAATTTGATCGAAATATATAGATAAACAAGTCAACCACAACAGTTTTAATTTTCTCCATAAGAATAACATAGGAATTTTAAATTTGCCTTTTTTTGAATTTTCTCCGTAACCCTTAGGCATACAACAATGCTTCAATATAGGTACTAAATTATTTCTTTTTTTATTCTCTACAAAATGGTTGGGAAAGAAATTCCAAAATTTTATGTTTTTAGGGTCTAAAATGGGAAAAACCCATTTTTACCCCATAAAACCCCCATTAAACCCCCGTTCCCATGGTCCGATCATGCTGGTTCGCGAACTCGTTCGAATAAATGTAGGTTTACACGTTTATACCAAATTTAATCAAAATCGGATGGTTTTTGATCGAGTTATCGTGCTAACGGACCCATATATATATATAAATATATATATATATGAATTTGAACGGATGGTGTTTTTGGCCTCTGGGGACCTCAATACAAAAAGTAAATCGGTCCCGGGTCCAGGTCTTACCATGAGACCTACGGTAATAGCTTATTGCCTATATGGGAAATTCGCTAAAAGCCACCCTGCAGTATCCATGGTTGTCTTTGTCTAGTCCGTTATGATTTATCGGGTATGAGTAGTAAATGGTACAAAGAATTAAAAAAAATCTTTGTTCGCTGATGGTTATACGTGGTAAAATCTAACCCTAATATCATGCCGTATTATATCATATAATATACGGTATTAATAATACAATTCGATTCCTTGTGTGATATAATATCCAAAATTATACAACACCACACTAACCTGTACGATTCTTTTTTTCTTTATATCCTCTTCGCTCTTCTTATTGATAAGATAACATTTTATAATCTAACAGTGTCATTACATGTGTCTGAAACTTTCTGGGGTTTCTCGTGTAAGTAAGAAATGGGTTGGCCAACCTGCTATCTGCCATTATCAGTTTGATGGGCTGGGTGTTGGATTTTGTGCTGAAGCTGACGGAATGGTTTGTTTCATGGCCGTAATTTGTCTTTGTTTTCCTAGTTCGTGATTTTAGAGATTAAAGTTTGTGCTGTGCCCTATTTGTTGTGGATATAAACTGTTTTTGTTTGTTTTATAGACTGGACATCAGGATACACTTACAAAGTGAACAGTGATTGAAATGCGATAACAGATGGATAGGCAGTGTTTCCCTGACCAATACAATAAGTCAGCGAAAGTTAAAAAGTTCTAAAGTTGTCCAAGAAGTTTTTTCCGTGGTTAATGTTTAACTTAGTCTATGGTTGTTAACAATCTGCATTGTTATATTGGGTACAATGGGGAATTGCTTCAGTCGTCAGCGATCTACATCTAAGAAAGATGGGGCAGGGCTGTCAGTGCCTACAACGAGCAAAGAGCCAGCTGCACCTAATATACAAAATCTAAACATTCAGTTGGGAGGCCCAACTCTAGAAAATACTACTAGAGAAACAAGAAATGGCCCTATTCCACCCATTCCTGAACCAGAAAACACAAGCAATGCGACAAATGCATCTGCAAAAATATTTGTTGCTCTATATGACTACGATGCTAGAACAGATGAGGACCTTAGTTTTAGGAAAGGTGAACATTTAGAGATATTAAATGACACTCAAGGTGATTGGTGGCTCGCAAGAAGCAAAGCTACAAAGCAGGAGGGCTACATCCCTTCAAACTATGTTGCTAAGCTGAAATCCATCGAAGCTGAGCCGTAAGTAATCTCTTTTACTTTTCACATCTAGGTTGCTTATCTATTAGCCTACTGTAGTTTAAGTTAGTTTCTCAGTTTTCAACGTCGGTGGCATTTATTAAGTTGGCTAACTGAGAACATCCAACGCTCTAAAAAAGAGTAAGCGGTCGCTCAGTTCTGCAGGGAACCTAGAGGCTACGATTTAAGTTATCGGATACATATCCGATTTGCTGTTGATGGTCTTGTCAAGAAAAGGGCTGCCCACAACTATTTAACTTACAGTGTGTTGCGGCCTTTAGGCTAGGTTAGGGTAGTTCAGTTTTGTTCATGATAAAGACAAACAAGGTAGGCCAAGGTTCTTCTTACTTATGCTATCGTCGTAAACATCGCACACCTAGTAACAAGAAATAAAGTGTTACGGTAAGGATCTACTTACTTTGGTTGAATTGAAACTCAAACAATGAATGATCTTTATTTTGGGCTTGTGGGGAAGGCAGGTCAGGGTTTATGCGGGTATGTGGCTGCATTAAGTGTTTTGAAGTTACGTTAGATTATAAGGTAAAGTGTATGTTATAGATAGGTGATGGGTTTTTCATTGATGTTAGGTACACCCATGTTGTTTTTTTTATCTTCTGGAATAGTTGATTAGATGACGAGACGATTTCAAAAATCGAGTAATCAAACCATACAGCAAGTTTGGTTAGGTTTTGTTAGTTTAGAATAGTTTTATTAAATCAAAACATTAATAACATAAAACAATCATAATAAATTAATGATCAGCTGGTTACACTACACTTAAAGTATGAGTAGGGCCTATGTTAACACGTTGACTGCGCGTGCCGACTTTAGTCGGCATCGCCAGCGCTCCCAGGGGGCGCGCGCCGACATAAGTCGGCACCAGACCAACAGAAATATATTGAGTCAGTGTGAGCTTAGCCTCAGACGGAGACGTTATAAACGTTGCCAGCCTGCCAGCTTAGAATGCGAGCTTTACTTTGACCGGTGTAGGTTGGTACTAAAATTTCCCGTAAAATCCTGTCTGGCAATGCTTTTGTCTCGGTTTCAGGGATTTTTTCTCTTCAACCCACATTACAAAGACACTTGATATGGATCCGTGCAGTGCTGCTACCTTTGGGTGTTTCAGTGAACTAGGCCTACATCCACTCTCAGGGTAACGCAGCACAGTCACCACTGCTCTTTTGTGATTCGTCAGACTGAAATATTTGAATGCCAATTGTGTTCGCTGATTCGGTTTCGCGCCATTGGGGAGCGCCTGTAAAGTCGGCGCGCGCAGTCAACGTGTTAAGTAGTCAACGGTCCATTCACTTTGCTTCTTGTTCCTTTGTGTGCGATTTGCTCCTCGCCTTGAAAAGAAGTTCCATATATTTTCACAATTTGCGGTGTTTTCAGCACTTAAAAAAATGTTTTAAAGGTATTTTATTGTTTATTGGAATCTTATGAATGGTTTAGGAAGCTTTAAAAGAAAAGTCCAAAAAATTCAGATTCACCCTATATTTGTTCCAAACAACAGAGTGATTGTAATTCAAATATCTAGTACCGTATACAGTAAAATTACAAATTTTCTTTGTAGTTTTTTTAGTTGTTTTTTGAGTTAGAATGTCAAGGCTCCAAGGACTCTTAAGAACTTCCAAAAAAATGTCTAATGTAGGCCTATGTAGAATTGAGGATTAAGTTACAGCTAGGCGACTGTGTTATCATTGGCATTTTATTAAATATTTACATTTGAAATTATGGAGTGACAATCTTCCTTCTTATCACCCAATGTTTATGTTATCAGTTTGTTTTGTTTTACCAATGAGAACAACTATTTTAATCCTAACATAACCAATAGATGACTGGACGAATGGTAGGAGGTATAATGTGAGTCAGAGTGTTGATCAAAGAAGTTCATTTTTCTGTGAAAGTCCTAGTTGTAAGTGCTATGTGTGTGAATGTAGCCTAATGATGGCAAGTAATTGTGAACTTTGTGAGTCGTTATATGGTAATGTGAATTGGTATGTATTAAAGATAAAATATATTCTGTCTTCGTGTGTAATCAGTATTTACTGTACGTATCAGGATCAGACCCCATGTCATATTATTGTATAAAAAATAAACAAACAAACCTAATGTAGGCCTTTAGAATGTTTTTGTGTAATAAATTAAAATCAAGAGAGAATAATGAATTAATATATTGTAACAAGACGAACCAGATAGGAATAATGTTTATATTTTTACACAATTATTAATTGTTTTACAATGATCAGCTGTTGTTAATATTATTTTATACAGGCTAATAGAAAAGATTAGGTCTAACTAAAAGAACTGAATAGGCCTACATCAATCTATTTAAATGAATTTTATATGTACCGTAACATAGGTAGTAAATACCGGTACTGACATAGGTCATATGACTAAATGATTATGATTAATGTCTGATACTGTGTTTGTTTTACAATGCTCATATATGATTACAGACAAAAAGAATTAATATAGACTGTCAGCCGTGCTGTGGTTACCATAGGTTCTGGCGCCAACCGCTGGGAGTGTCGTGTAGCTACTTAGCATGTATGCCGTAACAACATGGCGCTCCCAGTGGTGTGCGCCAGAACCAATGGTAACCGCAGCACAGCTGATGGTCTATATTTAATTATTTTTGTCTGTGATATGATATACAGCAGATAGATTTTGATTTCAATGTTTTTGGGATTAGGGGGTTTTGAGGCTAGAAAACCGCTGAGTGAAAGTCATGATTTGAGAAACTACGCATGTATTTTTCTTATAAAAACTCCCAAAATATTCTAGTTAGCCCATAAAGGAAATAATTTTTTTTTTTTATTGCTGTCGATGTTATATAAATAACTTACTGGTAGGCCTATGCCAAAATATTCTTTACGATGGTTAAAGATATTTATTAATTAGTTCATTGTTTGTTTGCTTAGTAAAAATTTTCTTAAAGTATTTTATATTACACATTTTTGGCACTCAAATGTAGTAAATCTTTTGTTGTAACCTGGCCACTCCACCATAGACTAAAGGTGTAGACTCCTTTAACACGTTCGCGGCGGCATGGATCGCTCCCATACGGAACCCTAATGCCATCCTGGCGGGTGCGATCGCTCCCAAGCTGCAATGCAGTACAAAATGATTTATTTTAAAGCCAGGATTAGAGCTAGAAACTTGAAACCTCGCACAGCTCTGCTCAATCGTATACTGTATTTTGTTGTGGTGTAGGTTGGTAGTAAATTTCTCCGTAAAATCCCCGTCTGGCAATTTTAAAAACCTACTTTTTGTCCAGTCTTTTTCCCTCCATTTGGCAATACAATTCCAATGGGACCGGCTACGTTCCAAGCAGTGCTGCTATCTGTGGGTGTTTAACGAACTACGTCGACTCTCGTTGTAAAGCAGGACATCCTCGCACGTTATTTGGCTATTCGTCAGACCAAAATTGGAAAGCTAATCACACGCGGCAATCGGGTTTGTTCGACGCTGAGGGCTGCGCCGCACTGGGGATACGCCCGCTATTTGACGTGCCGCAGCGAACGTGTTAATAATGACTAGGCTACTCCTTTAGTCTATGACTCGGTTTACAGACACATTGCACACAGCGGTCAAATTAATATCTGTCAAAACTGGCACACTCATTCAATAAGATTCAATAAGATTCAATAAGATTTATTGCAGCCATTAAACATAACATTTTGTAATAGGCATTGTTACAATAGTACTTAAAAATAGATCATACATCAATTATAAATTTAAATATATACAATATCCTATTTAGAATCTAAACTAAACATGACATGTCACTATTTAAAAATTCTTCCTGCGTGTAGAATGCTCTTGATTTAAAAAACTCAGTAATTTTTCTTTTAAATTGGTTTAAAGGTAGTTCACGAAAACAAGTGGGTAGCTTGTTGAAGAAAATATGTTGATTGTAAAAATGGCTATTTAAAGTTTTTGAAAGTCTGATTTGAGGTGTGACTAGGTTGTTTTTGTGCCTCGTGTTGTATGGATGAGAATAGCTAGAAAATTTTAAGGGGTTGTTTTTTATATGAATTAAATTACAAAGAATGTACATAGATGGCAGTGTAAGTAAATTTAAATTGGAAAAGTGATCCCTACAGGATTCATGATCTTGCAATCCTAGCATGGCTCTAAGAGCTTTCTTTTGCCAAACAAATGCTTTCTGAGCTAAGTGTGAACCACCCCAGAGACGCAAACCATAAAGCAGCTGTGAGTGAAACAAACCGTAGTAAGTCATTACCAAAGTGTTAAAACTCACACATGATCCAAGTTTTCTCAAGAGACAGGTTATTCTAGCCAATCTTTTACAAAGTTGTGTAATGTGGTTATCCCAGCTTAGTCTGTTGTCGAGATGGATGCCTAAGAGTTTGACTGTTTTATAAGCATCAGTGGGTTGATCTTTTTTTAGAGAAAAGTAGATGTATTCTGTTTTTTCCTCATTGATAGCCAAATTATTGATTTTATACCAGAATTTAGCACAGTTTAGGGCATGATTAAGATCGTACTCAACTGTTAAAACATTATCATCTTTACAGAACAGGGTAGTATCATCAGCATAAAGTATTGATTGAGTAGGGATATTAAAACTAAAGTCGTTAATAAAAATCAAAAACAGGAAAGGTCCTAAAATGGACCCTTGCGGAACACCAGCATTCAATTCTAAAATATCAGAATAATCATCTCCTATCACGACCTGCTGTTTACGGTTTTCCAGGTAGGATTGAATGATGTTTAGTTCACGGTTCCTAACCCCATAGTAATACAGTTTATCAAGAAGAATGGGATGGGAGATTGTGTCGAAGGCCTTGGTCAAATCAATAAGGCATGTACCTGTCACCAACTTGTCTTCAAACCCTTGCAAAACTTGGTTAATTAATTCTTCTACAGCCATTGTGGTTGAACAGTTGGCTCTAAAGCCGTATTGACCTTTATATAAAAGGTTATTCACAGTAAAAAAGTGTTGAAGCTGCTCAAGCATACATGATTCAATTATT